GTCATTGACGTAACGTCAGAAAAAAAAATATATTATACTGTATAAAATTTTTTTATTTGTAAATTTAGTTTTGCAAACTGATTATGAAGTGGTTTCTCAAACGACGTGAAAGCTTTATTCTCAAATCTCCGAACCTGCAGAGGCAATTTTAATAACACAATTTGCAGCCCTCCCCTCTCTCCGAATGCTCAATCACTCCAGTAACACTTCTAGATGAAGTCCAGGAGAAGGCATTACACCTTTGACAGCAGTCCCCTTTCGTGAGAAATCAGACTGAAAACTGATAATTTGACATTTGCTTGAAGCGTTTTATGGTTCCGTTGATTCTGCGAGCTTTTCGGTATAACTATTGTTATAACGATAAACTTTTGTATTTTGTAGGTTATACTTTTAGGCATCACGATATTTGCCACTACAATTATTGTGTGAAAAAAGTATATAACAAAAATGATTCCGTCTTCTGTACTATTTGTTACATGATCCTCACCATTTTTCACCATTAACTCAATCAACGTCACCATTGAAATTTTGACTCATGTTACTTACCTAATTGTGAGACTACAGTGAAACACCAAATCTATATTTTCTTCACTACCTTTCTTTTATAAGGGTGCTAGTGAAATTGCGAATAGCGAGAGGGAATTTGTTGTCATAAAAGCTTCAAGAAATATCTGTGTTAAGTACCATAGTATCATCGCCTCTGAAATGTTCAATAAATTTATGTAAGCTCTCAAAGGTTTATTTTTTTTTTCTTTTTTTTTTTGGAGCGTTGTGCTCTCACCGCGTTCATCTCATTTTCACAAGTGTCTATTGGTTGTGTCTGCATAAACGGTTCTCTGGTCTTCTATGTACAGATTGAGCAAATAAATAAAAACTGTCATCTTTGGAAACCGAGCTTTGTATTCTTTGGAAAATAATTTCTTACAATTATGACAGTTAAAAAATTGTTAATTAATGCTTTTTGACTCTCAGAATACTTCCTACGTTACGTTTTTGTGAGCTTCCTGTTTTCCTCACTTTTTTGGTGACAGACTGCCGTAATTTTTTTTCCTTCACTGATTATTTTCCAAGACCGATTCTTAGAATTTGATGGGCTATAATGGATTTTCTTTCCCATAAAATGCACTGTATTTAAATTCGTTGGTAGTATTCTTTTTTGGTGCCGTAAATACGTTCATTAAAAGACAGTTGTTAAAGTAAAATAACATTTGAAAAAGACACCGAAGTTTTAATAACAGAAAAGGAACAATAGTCTTCTCTGTCACATTTGTGATCCAAGGGAACTAACTTGGGAAGTTTGAAGTGCATTTTGTCTAAGAATGTCGTCATCCATTCTCTCAGTTTCCCAGGTTTTATGAGACTATTTATAGTTGTGTAGTGTTACTCAATTGTCCTTTGCTTCTTTATCAGGCAGGATCTATCGAAAACTACAAAAACGGAAAAGATTTTGAAGAAGAACATTCGTTTAACTGATAATAATGAATCAGTGAGTTCTGCCGGATAGTGGCAACAACAGCATATTGTTACAGTGTCATATGAGCCTTTAGCATCCTTTTACACAACCAAAGAAAGTATCGTTTCAAAGCAGAAAAAAATTTTACTGTTCTGTCTGAACAGTGTTACTCCGATACTCTTTGAACATGAAACTAACAAATAGTGCGAGCTGCGAGGGAATATAAGGAGTCCCTGAACAACTATTAAATAGAAGAGACTATCTATGTTTCACTGGATGAAGTGCAAAAAATAAACACTACTGAAAAATAATGCTTGAAAATTTTTGTTTTTCAATACACTCACCACTTACTGCTAGACGAAATCTAATTATTGTATTGCACCCAAAGTTACAGTGCTGAGCTGTAGATATTTACAAACTTTAAAGTCTTCTGAAGCTAATAAGCGTCAGCAACATTATGGCGACTTAAAAGCATATTTAACAGTTTTTTATGAGAAGCTAAGTGGTAACATTCGCAGTCGGTGCGTACGCATACGTCATACCACTAAACAACATGAAACAAACTATTTTCTTGGCATTTTCCGAAAATCGCCCATACTCCTGAAACACTGAAAGAAAAAAAAAAGAACTTTAGACGAATCTCATTTCGGAATTTTAATCAAGATCTGAACATGGAATAAACAACAAAAATATTTGTTAGCAACGATGATGACCACCAAACCGATGAAAGTAGCAGTCCATCATAAAGAAATATAGGTAAGTGGAGACTCAACTTTTCCAAAAGATAGGCCAGAATATATTCCATATACCTATGAATGTATCTAACAATACAGGATTTTAGCCATTATTTAAGCGATTGCTATAAGCCTGTTTCTACTATGAAACGCCTGCAGTACAACAGCAGTTCGTCGTTTTGTAATGAACAGATAATGCCTTAAATAAAGATAAAATTTTCTTTTTCTATGAAATATCAACGAAAAAAATGAACTGAAAAAAGTTCTGAGGAGAGGATTAAAGTGAGACAATAACAGCAATGTGATCGACACAGTTCTAACACATTGTTCATGCGTACCACGGTACCGCTGAGCAAATGCTACCGTAACATCTAAGATCTCCACTCTCCAGAATGGAAAATGAGAAATTGCTTCTAAGGGAATTTAGGAATACTTCAAATAAGATTGAACCTGGAAAAGAGATGTTACCAAAAAAAATTTTTTTCAAGAAAATCCTTCATTCCATAAGGAAGAGTGTCTGTGAAGCGCATCACCGTCCATAAACTGCACGCTTTTCGGCATCAATCTTCAAATTTGTTGCCTTCAGTGTATGCGTAATCACGAAGCAGACAGTTCAACACAAATCCATTATTGTCGCAGCCTATCAGAGCAGACTCTGAGTTACGCTTTTTGAAAATACTCCAATCATTATCCTCGTCCACAGGTATCCAGTTTCTATTGCCAAAATGGAGTATATGATAGCCAAAAATACACGTCTTTTCTGCATTTGTTAGTCATATGCAAGATTCTCCGGATCACAATGTTTTCCATCAACAGTTTTTCTTTAGACGACATCCCATATCACAAAACAGACTAACAAATACACACAAGCACACAAACACACACACACACACACACACACACAAACACA